TATTAAATACCCACTCATCCAGCGGTAAAACCCAATCATCGTCGCAAAATAATAAAAATAAATATTTGAGAGTCTCTCCGAGAAAAAAGCTTTCCATCTTGTCACGATAGCCTGGATTGTCTGGGTTCTGGACATTGCTGATCGAGCTGTAGCCATTTTCTAGTTTCGTGTAAGTTTCAAAGGACTGGAATATCCTCCAACCCCAGTCTCTGTACTTCTGGTCTTTCGTGAGTCGATACAGAACAAATAAAGACTCCACTGTCTCTGGTCGCAATAGATTGTGCTTATCATTCATCTAAGGAAACAGAAGATAAAATAATGAAATATTTTATAGTTTTATTTTTGCAGCCCGGATTTTGATTGAGAAAATGGTTAAGTGTTTATAGATGTTTTAGGTTTAATTTTTGCAAATTTTCATAATCAATTTAATGCTAAAAAGATGCAATGATGAAAACACAAATTAAATAGCCAATTTGCAAAAAATATCACATTTTAAGTATAAGTTATTAGATTTGATACATACAGCACACACCTTGACAATAATATCATCTTTCTTGCTGTTTGGATCAATATTAAAGTACACAATCTCAGGGCTAAGACCAGTTGGCATTCTCTCATACATCTGCCAGCAAGTGTACATCAACTGCTTCCCAATCTTCATGTGTGATGGCTGCTGGACATGCTCAGATCCCAGGGCTAGGACTCCGGCATAAAAGCAAACCAAATGATCCATTTTAGGTATAAAGCTGGCTCCCTTGCTTTCACCGATAAAGGTTAGTTTGTTTGGCTCAGATTCGCGAAGAAGGACCTCTTCGACACCTTGAACTGTCTCCAAGTACCACTTCAAAAACCTGTTAAAGTAATTTATTTTATCTTTAAAAATAAAGGTGATTAAGAGTAGGATCAAACATTTTCTGATACATATTGATGTACTTATGCTATGTAGAAAGTTTCAGCTAATTCAGGCTTCAACTTTTTAAGTTACGGCCATTTAAAACAATGAGCCAAAATCTGAAAAAATACCCAAGGCTATAGCCCATGGTTTTTTCCAAAAAATGGCTCCGAAATCACCCCCAATTTTTATTACATTTTCTGATACATATTAATGTCCTTATGCTGTGTAGAAAGTTTGAGCTGATTCCAACTTCAATTTTTTAAGTTACGGCCATTTTAAAAAATGAGCCAAAATCTGAAAAATACCCAAGGCTATAGCCCATGGTTTTTTCCAAAAAATGGCTCCGAAATCACCCCCAATTTTTATTACATTTTCTGATACATATTGATGTCCTTATGCTGTGTAAAAAGTTTGAGCTGATTCCGACTCCAATTTTTCGAGTTACAAGCATAATATATGTATATACATATACATGCATTATAATAATTATTAGTATTATTTTAATGTTGCATCACATACTTTCCTTCCTTTTTCCCACTTTGCAGCCAAAGTTTAAATAAATACTCGTAATAACTGTCGGCTCTGGCTCCTAGTGTGACCATGTCATCGTTCCTCAATCTGCCAGTTTGTGCATTGATGAACTTTGGGATCAGATTATGATACCTGCTCTGTTCCTACAGTGAGACAATAGAGTATAATGGAGAACAAGTAAATATAAAGAGAAATTATAAAATAAGAAGATAACTTTAAAAATAAAAAGTAGTAGGAAAAAATAAAAAATAAAGTGGAACCACTGATAATGAAACTTATAAATAACTTTTACAGCTACTGATAGCTGATAATATTATAATCATAAGTATTAAGTAGGTTAATTGTGATTTTCTATAAAAGTAGGTAACTAATTCATTTCATTAATTCCAGCCTTTGTCAACTCATGTACAGTCTGGTAAAATGTTAAAGATGTTAATCTTTATGTTGTTGTTGAATACTAACAAGTGCTAACTAAAGGACTCAACAAAACAACACTATACACTCCTCAAACTAAAACCCTGTTAGTGCTACAAGACACTATGAGGAATCAGGTAATAGTCTAATGTACAGAGCAATTGTCAATTAATTATCATTTCAATTTTCTACAAAATCAAATTAAGAGTGCAGCAATCATGTGTGGCATGCATCTAAACAGTAGGAATTTACTAGTGAAGTATTTACACTATCATGTGCAGATACAACTGCTCATTCAATACATGGCTTGAATTCCAGTTCTTGTCAAGCTCACGTACAGTTTAGTAAAATGTCAAAGATGTTCATCTTTATGTTGTTGTTGCTGTGTTTAATAGTTACCATTGATGAAGGAGAAGGATCTTATTGTATGGCTGATTGTACTGGATATAAACATGAACCATCACTGTATCTAAGAGTATGCTGTATCATTAGTAACTTAGGACAGACTGTTACCATTAGAGGAATTGGTAAAACAAGATACATTCTGTGTCCTAAAGTACGACCAAAGTCATGCCTATCAGGTACTGTATATAACTGGAATAGTTCATGATATACTTATTGTAGATAATAGAGACTGTAAGAGCTTGTTTGAGACTGGTAATACTACTAGTGGTGTTTATACTGTTAATCCTGATGGAGGGACTCCATTTGAAGTTAGTTAAAAGTAATTTATAATCATACACTATTGGATCACAGGTATACTGTGATATGATTAGGAAGATACCAATATAACTGGTAATTTTCAAGGGGTAGCATTAAATAATTTTTAGTGATTGGTGGGTTCTAAGGAATCAGTTAAGAGTCTAATAAGGAGAGCAATGGTCATTGTGGTTAATGCATTTTTATTGACAGGATACCAAAATATATTTATAACTAGACGAATGTAAACATTAAGGGGCTCCACCCCCAGCTACACTATCATGAAGATGAGATTATTTAACTTTAAAAATAGTTAGATGATCCTATACTGCCAGTACATACTGACTCACTTCATCAGTATAGGGCTTTGCCTAATTAACAGGAATAGGAGCTTAGAAATACTATAAGGGATCAGTTACAAGGCCTAATGTAAACAATTACTGTGTAACTAAGAAATAAAAAAGTGGGAGGAAATTTAATAAAAATTTCAAATGTCAACAGTAGCCATAAGAAGGTAGCTTTAAATTCTGGTCCTTGTCAAACTCCCGTACAGTCTAGTAAAAGGTCAAAGATGTTCATCTTTATGTTG